ACAATCCAGGATATGGGAGAGCACCTTGACCCTCTCAAGCCCTAAGTCTAACTTAGAAAGCAACCAGGAAACTGTGAGAAGGAACTGCTTTAGAGAGGGAGCATGCCTTGTATTCCATGCTGTTTCTGAAACCCAGGCAGCTATAGCAAGACACCATTCTAGATCTTAGCCCTTAACAGACTGTGTGAAGTCCTGAGAATTCAGTCCTAGGCATTAGGGAAACTTGGGCTGCTGTTTGCAGAACTGGGGTGTGAACTAGGGGCTGGCCCTAACAACCAAGACTAAGAAGCTAGTGTGGCATGGGCTGCAGCCACCAGTGCAGGAAGCAGGTACTGCTCCTACTTAAGCAGGATGAGAGTTGCCATGAAGCCTTAGTGTTGAGCTAAGTGGGGACTCCTATGGGCCATGAGCATGAACTGAGGGGCATGGGGTCTAACCGAACAGTTGGGATGGCTATGACACCTGAGACAGGGGAGAGAACCCTGTCCAGACTGGGGGCTGTAAGAAGGAAGCAAGTCTCTTACTCACTGACCAAGGCTATGGCCACTGGGACTGGTCCCACCCTTCTCGTGGCAGGACCTCAGTGCAGTGGTGACTACAGTTTACCCAAGAATTCTACCAGAGGCCTGAGGACTGTTTCTCCCCCACCTGTCATGGCTGGTGCATGCACTCATGACTGAGGAGCCTGAGTGTAAGCTTGCCCAGTCTAGCTCCATCTGGCTTTGGCCCTCAACCAATAATAAGTGACAAAATTGAATCGGCCATAAAAAGTCTCTAAACAAAGAAAAGGCCTGGACCAGATGAATTTACAGCTGAATTCTACCAAATGTACAAAAAAAGAACTAATACTAATCCTCCTGAAACTGTTCCCAAAAATTCAGGTGGAGGGAATTTTCTCTAAGTCATTCTACAAGGCCAGTAACACCTGATACCAAAACCAGACAAGGACACAACAACAACAAAAACTTGACCAATAGTTCTGATGGACATAGATGCAAATATCCTCAACAAAATACTAGCAAATCAAATGCAACAGCACATCAAAAAATAATATGTCATGATTTAGTAGGTTTGATACAAGGGATGAATGGATGATTTAATACATGTAAAGCAATAAATGTGATAAATCACATAAACAGAGCCCAGGACAAAAACCATATGATTGTTTCAATGGAAAATTCAGCATCATAATAAAATCTTTCATAATAAAATCCCCCAACAAACTAGGAATATAAGGAATGTACCTCAAAATAATAAACTCTATTTAGGACACACCCACAGATAACATCATACTGAATGTGAAAAGTTGAAAGCATTTTCTCTAAGAACTGAAACAAGACAAAATGCTCACTCTCACCATTCCTGTTCAACATAGTAGTGGAAATCCTATCTAGAGAAATCAGGCAAGAGAGAAAAAAGCCATCCAAATTGGAAATTGGATGATATGATCTTATTTCTAGAAAAACCTAAAGAATTCACCAAATCCTTTTAGAGTTAATAAATGAATTCAGTAAAGCTGTAGGGTATAAAATCAGCATACAAAATCAGTAGCATTTCTATACAGCAATAACTGTCTACCTGAAAAAGAAATCAAGAAGGCAATTTCATTTACAATAATTACAAACAAAATTTAGTAGTACATTTATTAGCCAAGGAGGTGAAAGATATCTACAAGGAAAATGACAAAACACTGATGAAAAATTATTGTGCATGACACAAACAAATGGAAAAACATCTCATGCTCATGGATTGAAAGAATTAATATTGTTTAAATGACCATACTGCCCAAAGCAATCTATAGATTCAATGCAATCACTATCAAAATACCAGCATTGTTTTTTAACAGAATTAGAAAAAAACTATCCTAAAATTCATACAGAACGAGAAAGAAAGCCCAAATAGCCAAAGCAATTCTGAGAAAAATGAACAAACCTACAGGCATCTCATTACCTGACTTGAAATTATATTACAAGGCTATAGTAACCAGAACACCATGGTATACTGCTATAAAAATAGACAGATACATCAATGAAAAATAATAGAAAACACATAAATAAGGTCACATATTTACAGCTAACTAATCGTTGACAATGCTGACAACAACATAAGTTGGAAAAAGGACACGCTTTTCAATAAATGGTGCTGGGACAATTGGATTGCCATTTGCAGAAGAATTAAACTGGACCTCTATCTCCCACCATATACAAAAATAAACTCAAGATGGATTAAAGACTTAAACAAAGAACCTAAAACTATAAAAATGCTTGAATAAAACATACGGAAAACTTTTGGACATTAGTCTAGGCAAAGAATTTATGACTAAGACCTCAAAAGCGTAGGAAACAAAAACAAAAATAGACAAATGGGATTAAATTAAAAATTTCTGCACAGCAAAGGAAATAATCAACAGAGTGAACAGACAGCCAGTAGAATGGGAGAAAATACTTGGAAAATATTCATTTGACAGGGGACTAAAAACCAGACATACAAGGAACTGAACTCAAAAGCCAAAAACCCTGAAACAATCCCATTAAAAAGTGGGCAAGGAGTAAGGTGGTATTGCATCGTGGTTTTGATTTGCATTTCCCTGATTATTAGTGATGTTGAGCATTTTTTCCTGTTTGTTGGTCATTTGTATATCTTCTTTTGAGAATTGTGTTTATGTCCTTAGCCCACTTTTTGATGGACTGTTTTGCCCTCACCTGTCGTGGCTGGTGCATGCACTCATGACTAGTGGGCCTGAGTGCAAGCTTGCCTAGTCCAGCTCCATCTAGCTTTGGTCCCCAGCCAATAATGAGTGGCAAGATTGAATCAGCAATAAAAATAGCCAACAAATGGCAAAAAAAAAAAAAAAAAAAAACCCTGAAACTCAACAGCCAAAAAACCCTGACACAATCCCATTAAAAAGTGGGCAAGGAGTAAGGTGGTATCTCATCATGGTTTTGATTTGCATTACCCTGATTATTAGTGACATTGAGTATTTTTTCATACGTTTGTTGGTCATTTATATATCTTCTTTTGAGAATTGTCTGTTTATGTCCTTAGCCTACTTTTTGATGGGATAGTTTGTTTGTTTTTTTCTTGCTAATTTGTTTGAGTTCCTTGTAGATTCTGTATATTAGTCACTTTGGAATACTATTCAGCCATAAAAAGGAATGAATTAATGGCATTTGCAGCAACCTATATGGAAGTGGAGAGTATTATTCTAAGTGAAGTAACTCAGGAATGGAAAACCAAACATTGTATGTTCTCTCTATAAGTAAGAGCTAAGCTATGAGAATGCAAAGACATAAGAATAATACAGGGGGCTTTGGGGACTCGAGGGAAAGGGTGGGAGGGGTGTGAGGAATAAAAGACTACAAGTTGGGTTTAATTTATACTGCTCAGGTGATGGGTGCACCAAAATTTCACAGATCACCATTAAAGAACTTATTCATGTAACCAAATACCACCTGTTTCCCCAAAATCTATGGAAATACAAAATTTTAAAAAAAGAAAAAAGTGGGCAAGAATATGAATAGACATTTTTCAAAGGAAGACATACAAATGGCCAACAATTATATGAAACAATGTTCAACATCACTAATCATCAGTGAAATGAAAATTAAAACAACAGTGAGATATCATCTTCCCCCAGTCAGAATGGCTCTTATTAAAGTGACAAAAAGTAACAGATGTTGATGGGGATGTAGAGAAAAGGGAACTCTTATACACTGTTGATGGGAATGTAAATTATTAGCCTCTATGGAAAACAGTATGAAGATATCTCAAAGAACTAAAAATAGAATGACTATTTTATCAAACAATCCCACTACTGGATATATATCCAAAGGAAAAGAAGTCAATATATCAAAAAGGTACCTGCACTCATATGTTTATTGAAGCACTGTTCACAATAGCAAAGACATGAAATTAACCTAGTATCCACCAGTGGATGAATTAATAAAGAAAATGTGGTATATATACAATGAAATACCATTCAGCCATGAAAAGAATAAAATCATGTCATTTACAACAATATACATGGAAATGGAAGTCACTATCTTAAGTGAAACAAGCCAGGCACAGAAAATCAAATATCACATGTTCTTACTCATAAAGGTGCTAAAAATACGTACACATGGAGGTAGAGAGTAGAATCATTGGCAGTTGATACTTGGAAGGGTGAGAGAGTAGGAAAGGAGTGATGGGAAATTAGTTAATGCATATAATGAATGTTATTTGGGTTATGGATATCCTAAAAGCTCTAACTTGACCACTACACAATCTATGCATGTAACAAAACTTTATATGTACCCCATAAATTTGTACAAATAAAGAGACACTAAAGCCAACTAGATAATACATTTAGCTAGGAACTCAGAGACAATTCTGTTGATAATGACTGTCATTACCAACAGAACTGGCCAGAACTGAAGTATATTTCCTTATTCACAGTGATTAGTATATGTATTTATTTTTCCTATCAGTTAACTATACTATTAAAATTATCATTTTTCCTTGCTGCTTCCACATATTTGGAGGGGCTTCGTTGCTGGAGACTGTCCCTGAAGATAAGTAAAAAAGCAGCAGTGTGTGATGAGCAGATCACTGTTCAGAAAGCTTCATGCCAGAGTCCAGCCCCTGCAATGTTATTTTGTGTTACTGGACAAGTCATTTAGTCTCTGTGAAGTTCTGTGTCTTTTTCTGTAAAATGAAATTAGAAATACAGCTTTTACCTCATAGAGTTTTAATTGAGAAAAGATTAGTGGAAGCATTCAGCATGTTGTACATGCTCAATTAATGTTTATTGATATGGATTATTTTTCCAGAAGCCTTTAGATGACCAGTTGTTTTACATTTTTGGACTAAAGTTAAATTTTAAGTAAGTTGTTTCTTTCATGAGTAAATACTCATAAAAACTACGTGAATTCATATAAGTAAAATTGTAACTTTCCTACTTTATTTATCATGATACCTTTTTCTTAGACCTAAAAATGTTTGTATTTTTCTTTTTCTAGACAACAAGCTGGTGAGCAGCCTCAGCCTGCCTCTTTTGTTCCATCAGAGACGCTCATGTCACCAGGTTATGCAGGACAATTTTTTCAGCCAGCATCCAACTCAGATTATTATTCACAATCTCCTTACATTGACAGTTTTGATGAAGAGCCTCCTTTGCTAGAAGATAAGTTAAGGAAGTGTTATTAATGTCTGTACAGCTAGTAGAATAATAGCAATAATTAGCACTTAATGTGTGCTGTCAGCCTGCAGTGTACAGTGTTTTATGTGTGATTGTTTCACGTATAACAAGAGTTTGCTGAACCAAAACCCTTAAACCGTTGGAAGTTTGTTGCATGTTTGCGTAGGGGAAATTGGGTGTAGATATGGGCCATTCTGTGACATTGCTGCACTTATTAAATGCTCCTTCACTCTTTCTTAAATTCGAACTCCTTGGCCAAGAATAGAAAAAAATGCAGACATCTTTTGGCAAAGTAGTTACATCAAAGTGACCACCCTTCCCATCCAGTTAATGAAGCACTTCATAACAGCATATTTTATTTTCTGCTATGTTTTCCTGGGAGCAAAGTGGATAGTTTCTCAAATTAATATTTTTGTTGTCATTGTTGACATGGAGACAAGCCAGTATTTTTCTTTCCTGACTCATGCAAACCCTTTCATCTCACTTGGCATGAGTAGGTGAGGAAGTATATAAATCCAGTAAATAACGCTCCTGCTGGGAAGGTAATCCAGAGATTCTTAGAGCTGAAGGTCCTTAGGGGATTTTGGAGTTGTTCCATCCACTGGTTTTTTTTTTTTTTCATATGTAGCCAGTCTGTATGTGCTGTTTTTGCTCTTAAACAAGATTAATACAGTGCTAGAAACATAGGTGTTAAGACACTAAAACCCCAAGTGGATTTAAATTTGAGAACCAAGCAGAAATAGTCACTGGTTAACTGCTGCAAGGCCTTTGCATGTAGTCAAGTGAAAAGGAATAGATTAAAATTTCCAGTATTTTACATCACAAGATGTAAAGATGTTTGCCTCACATGAACACAACCAACCACATTCTTCTTTCTTTTCCTTAAAAATGTAAAACCGTGAAAGATTTAAACTGTTCAGAACAGAACAGAGATTTATATAATTGATCTATTGGCTCTTTGGAAGCCAGTCAAGTTTCTGGTTCAGTTATCTTTAACCAGTTCATTCTGTTTTGCCTCTACAAGTAATAAACACTTAAAAGTTACAAGTTATTCTAGTTAAACATTTTCCTTGGCTTTGCCAATATCTCTGCCTAATTGTCTTCAGAATTGGGAAAACAGAGAAGCATAATAAAAATATAAAAATTACTTCAAATCTTGTCTCAAAGACATGACTATCATTAACAATTTGATGTATTTTCTTCTAACCTTTATTCTATTTTCCTATGAATGCCTATGTATATGTATTATGCATGAATATACAAGCATACTTTAAAGTAAAATACTATTTTTTCAATGAATATATATACGTTTGAGTACTTATTGCATTCTTTTTATTTACTTTATGTCACGAGCATTTTTTTTTTTTTTTTTTTGAGATGGAGTCTCACTCTGTTGCCCAGGTTGGAGTGCAGTGGCCCAATCTCGACTCACTGCAACCTCTGCCTCCTGGGTTTAAGCGATCCTCCTCCTTCAGCCTCCTGAGTAGCTGAGACTGCAGGTGCACACCACCGTGCATGGCTAATTTTTGTGTTTTTAGCAGAAACAGGGTTTTGCCATGTTGTCAAAGCTAATCTCGAACTCCTGACCTCAGGTGATCCGCCTGCCTCAGCCTCCCAGAGTGCTGGGATTACGGGCATGAGTCACTGTGTCCAGCCTGTCACGAGCACTTCTATACAAACATTCTTTAAAGTCATTAAATATTATTTGAAAACAATTTATAATGGTTTCATAGAGCTCTATTATATAACATAACCATAATTTAAACACACCTTAAAGGTTATTCCTTATAGCAAGTAATGCTTTGCCATCTTTGACCTTTGTAGAGTCTGTCCTTAGGATGTACCCATAACAGTGGGATTGCTGGGTTAAAGGTACTGACACTGTCAAATGATGTCAAAAATGGTGTTCTACTCCACTTCCAGAGTAGAATATGACATGTCTTTGTCAATTTCATAGGAAAAAAGGAAAAAGGAATACTTTGTACCTCTGGGTTACTAAAAAAATTTTGACATTTCTCCTATGTGTATTGACTTTTTATTTTTCACGGTTTTTTTGGTTCAGATTTCTATAGAATTTAAAGAGTTTTCTTTCCTTGTTTATTTTTTAGGGATTTTATATAGTAACCATATTAATTATTGTCTAGAATATGTATTTTAAACATTTTTTTCCTAGCTTGTGTTTGCCATCTGATTTGTTTATGGGTCATTGGGACATATTAAAAGTGTGATATTAATTTTTTAAACCCAGAATATGTTTCCTAGTAACATTTCTTTCCAATTGTTGTTTGTTTAAAATCTATTTCTCCAGCTCTAGGTACTGCCTCTATCTCCTTATAGATGCTCACATTTTAAAATTATCCTTTTGTATTTTTTGTTTTATATTGAAATTATTATTCAATAGTTGTTTAAGCTTAATATGTGAAGTAAGATTTAATTTTTTTCTGTACTGCTTAACTATTTTTTTCTGCAGCATTTATTGAAAATAATCTTTTCTACTATCTGAAATGTCTCTACTGTTGCATTAATTTACCACTCTCTATACATCCTCCTCTAGCATGTCTTTCAATTTGAATAGAAAATACGTAATAGATTTTTATTTCCATTTTATACAGCTCAGAGTCAATTTCCCCAAAATATACAGTGTATTAGAACAGCAGTCCCCAACCTTTTTGGCACCAGGGAACAGTTTTGTGGAAGACAATTTTTCCACAGACAGGTTGGGGAGATGGTTTTGGGATGAAACTCTTCCACTTCAGATCATCAGGCATTAGTTAGATTCTCATAACAAGCGTGCAGCCTATATCCTTTGCATGCACAGTTTACAATAGGTTCATGCTCCCATGAGAAACTAATGCAGCTGATCTGGCAGGAGGCGGAGCTCAGGTGGTAATACTTGCTCGCCCACTGCTCACCTCCACCTCCTGTTGTGTGGCCCGGTTCCCAACAGGCCATGAGCAAGTTGGTATGGGTCCATGGCCCTGAGTTTGGGAACCCCAGTATTAGAAGATAGAGTACCTAATATAATTTTGTGTTTTGAATCTATGAAATATCTGGATTTGGGATCCAATGTATTCTTCAAGCTGAGTGACTTGTGAAAGCCTCAAGCCTCTTTTGTCTAAAGATATGAAAAAGGCCATGATATGTCTTTTTCAGATATAAAAAATGATACAATTTCTAGGATAACGCATTAAATAACATTTACTAGTTTTTATTGACCATCCATCAGAATGGCCTATAAAATTATCAAGCTATAATAATGAACATTCCTTGCACAAAAAGCATGTTGTTTCAAAAGAGTCCTTCTTTATTTCTTAAATATTTTGTTGTCTAAAATATTTGTTTGGTTTTATGTAAGAATGATAAATTTTGCTTTTAATGTAAAATCAATATGTTAAATGCATTTTTGAGAATAATAGTAAATTCAAACCTGTCAGATAAGAAGAATTACTGATATTTGGTATGTTGTATTTATAGCATAGCTTGACGCTTCTATATGAAAGGCCAGTGCCACAATTTGCATAGAAAATAGAGATCTTAATTCACTTTTATAGCATATGTATCATATACTTTACTACCACTAGATGACAGCAAAACAATAAATTTTGCATTCAAATTTTACAGCAGTTTTATCTTCTTTTATTTTGTACAATAAGATGTTATATTAGAGTATGTATAATTAATAAGTAGTTATAATCGCTCACATACCTTATAATAAATAAAAAACACAATATTATTGAGATATTTCAGTAGAAAGCACATAAAATATTTTTCATTATGAAAATATTTATATGGGCTTATATTAATTTACTGTCTCATGGCTTGATGTTAAAATATGTGCAGGAGTTAGTTATGCCATTAAATAAATGGTTGACATCAGTAATGATGTTGCATAAAGCATTTTTCATCTGAATTTCTTCCAAAATAATTATGTTTTTTGAGGAAAAGGTATTTGGAATTTACCACTTTATTGTGGTAAATACTGAAAATGTATTTTTAGCATAAATGCCAAAATTAAAAAAATAAAGTTTGAGAACATAAGCTTCAGGTGAAATTAATTTAAAATTAATTAATTTTAAATATATAGCATGTCTCAATTTTTAAAGTCTTCTTCTCTTTCAAAAATTATATTAGACATTCTAACCTCCTTTAAGCTTGGTGAACTGCTCATATTATTCAAAGTGTATGTTCATTAATAAATATACAAATGCACTGTGGAAATAAAGGATGAAACAAGAAAGCGGAAATGTAAATTATTTGCTATTAATTTAACTATTCGATTTTTTTAAGCTTAAAATAACAGATGTCATTCTGGGCATGAAATGAATAAAACTTTATTTCTTGGTTTAGACCAGTGTCTAGCTGACCCTCTGAAAATTTCTGAGTTGTTAGAACAAGGGTTCTCTGTGTCATGGGGTTTATTAAAAGTCTGTGTTGTAGTCTGTGTACAGAAAGTCAGCTTTGCAAGGTATTTAGGTGGTATGTGCCTCTGTAAAATAAGTTGAGCTATACCCCTGTATCTGACCAAAGAAAGTTACTAAAGCTTGGAAGCGTAGTTACATGCCACATACAAATACATTTAGGAAGACAGTCCTTCACATGGAAGAATTGGGCTCATTAAAATATATATATATATATATATATGATTATATATATATATATATGATTAGACGAACATTGACCCAACCACAACTCTATGGTTAAACACGTGCTTTCTTGAGTCAGATTGCGCAGCATTGAAAGCTAGGTTTTCTATTACTGCTTTGTGTCTTCAGACAAATTAATCTCTCAAAGCCTTATATATCCGATGCATAAAATAGGGATAAAATAATAGCAATTGATTGTGCATTTATAAGACCAATTTACGTAAATATTGTGAAGTCCATAGCAAACACTCAGTAAATTTTAGCTTTTATTCTTCCTAGCCTCCACGTCACCCTTACGGACATTCTGAAATTATAGAAGGAGGATAACCAATTTGATTGCTGGTCCCTAAATAGTGAAGTCATACTCTTCTCTTTGAATGTTCTCTTTCTCTACCCTAGATACATCTTAGTTGATCTCTACAGGAGTGGTAGGAAAAGAAACCAATGTGGTATCAATACTTATTTCTATGTTCAAGGGATGTCAAATGGCTCGGTATTTGCTTTATAGTAATGAGAGAAGCAGATTCTAGCAGAAGGATCTGTGAGGCAGCAGTCAGAAGTCTTTGAAAAGTGGGAATTGGAGAAAAAAAATTAGAAATTTCTAAATAGGTTTGGACTCATGAACGCTGAACTTCACTGATTTTGGATACTTTATTTGAATATTACCATGTATAAAAGAGAAAGGTTAACTTGTCTCAAGAATTTAATCTTTGAATACATAGACTCAGCTTCACAGTACATTGACCTTACAAAAATATGCGTGCACATCATGATCACTTTTACTTGCAGAAAGAGCCCTTTTCCCCTCTGTGTAGTTTCATTCATTTAGCATAAAATTGCTCTTCTCATTAGGCACAGTGGACTTGGACTCAGTCTCATTAGTTTAGTATAGTACTACTAATTTAAAAATTATGCCATGGCTGATATGATGGGATTTCAGAAGTGTCAGCAATTGAAAATACAGGAAAAGGGCCAGGTGCGGTGGCACAGGGCTGTAATCCCAGCAGTTTGGGAGGCCAAGGCAGGAGGGTCCCTTGAGCCCAGGAGTTCGAGACCAACCTGGGCAATGTAGTGAGACCTCATCACTATGGAAAAAAAAAATTAACCAAGTGTGGTGGTGCATGCCACAACTGAGACATGAGTCTCAGTTACACAAGAGACTGAGCGGAGGAGCTGGGATCATGCCACTGCACTCCAGCCTGGATGACAGAGGGAAACCCTGTCTCAAAAAAGAAATTTAAAAAAAAAAAAAAAAGAAAATACAGGAAAAGGAACTATCTAGATGGACAATAGGATGAAATTTTTGATCTGCTAGCTACAATTTTATTTTTTACTGTATATTGCCAATTTCCCAATTTTTAATTAGATTGAAAGCTTGTATTTGCTGCATAAATCAGGGAATGTTTTCCTTGATGGAAATATTTCTCTAACACATTTCTTTTAAGTCATTCTTTGGAAACCAAATTACTTTTTAGTTTGTTTTTTAAAGATTTGTATGTTACATAGAACTTGAGTTTCTGTGTAATACAGAACTTGGAACTTCAGAAGGTATGATAAAACAATCAGATTAAAATGCTAAGTAAGTTAATCAGATATGTTAACCTTTAAAGAGTGTAACTTATTTTTATTTTTCTATATTTATATTATCATATTATCTATCTTATTTTTCCTTTTTACAGAACTTGGAATCCATTTTGATCACATATGGCAAAAAACTTGGACAGTGTTAAATCCAATGAAGCCAGCAGATGGCAGTATTATGAATGAAACGGACCTCACTGGACCCATTCTTTTTTGTATAGCCCTGGGAGCCACCTTGCTTCTGGTAATGTGTCCCAGTAAGCACCAGATTTTAATGCTTGTCCTTGCCAGTGCTGGTTTTGAAGCAATATGTATAAATATAATAGAAACTGTGTCACTTTACATAGTGAATTTTGTTAAGTGAGAGAGAATAATTTAACCATAGTGACAAAAATATGCTACCATTATGCATTGCAACAGCTAAAACGTATAAATTTAAATAGAATTTCAAAAATCAAGAAGGAGATCAAAGTAGGAGCTCACTTATGTCTTTTTTGTTATTAAGAAAAGACTAAATCTGGAATAATGGGAGGAAAACAGATTTGGGAGATATAAGGCCTACATTTTATTTTTTGTTTTTCGTGAGAGTTCTATTGTGACACTGAATAAGTCACTTCTCTTTGGTCACCATTTTCTTTGCTGTGATAAGTCTCCAGACTATTTCTAACATCTTATGAGGTACGAGACTGATCTCCTTGTTTTGGGTTAGGCTACTAGGAAAAAGTTAATTTGCAATGACAAGCTATGATTTGTTTACTCAGCCTATATATTTCCTCTAAAATGTTAGTTTTCCACATTTTATGAAGACATTTGTTCCCCGACTTCACCATATGTCTTATGTATGCTTTCATTCTTTATATCTGGAAGTAATGGTATTAAGGGTCACTAAAAACGTGACCTAAGTAAAGTTTAAAAGACATTCTAGCTCATAGTTTAGGAAAATGTTTCATTAAAAAAAAAAAAAAAAAAGGAATAAGAAAAAAATGAGAAAATGTCTCTAACTTTATACCAAGGAGGAGATGGCAATACAATAAAAACAGAGAATGATAAAGATGGTCAAGGCAGTGTGAAAAATGTTGTTTCATTAAGACACAAAGAGATAAACTAGGCAGAATAAATAATATGAGAAATTAAACATTATTAAAAAACTCTTACAATAACTATTTAGCCCTTTTCCCCATTTTCCTGCTCTTCATGTTCCATAATAATAATTTCTTCCAGTGGATATACAATTTTCAAAAGTAGTTGTAAAATGCATTTGCAACTAAATAAAATTCTGCTTTTCAATTATTATATATAATCAATCAAAATACTGATAGCAATCTAGTTTCTGCAGGTAATTTGGCCAATAATAACATCATGTTAATCCAATACAATAGTATTTAGTGATAACATCTTATTTCTTTGTACTACAGCAAGTGCAAATACTCTGTAAATCAAACACTATATCAACTAGAGTTTTAATTTAGTCTCTAACCTCCCTTCTTCTGTCTTTGTCACAGTAATTTGATAATCTTAGATTAACTGCTAAGTAAGGCCATGTCAATTAATCAAATAGTCAGAAACAATCAATTTAATATATTAACTCATCTTTCTTTTTCAAGTCATTTGTAATAAAACAGCTGTTTGTTCTGTAGCAGAACATCACTGTTACCATCCCTTAAAGAACAGCATCAATTCCATTATGATCTCTCTTGGATGCATAATGTTAGTTAGAGTTATTTACATATCCCTTCTTATATTTTAAATACAAAGCAATAGAGGCAAAAATTCTTAACTGGAAGCGAGAAAATTGGATCTACCCTAGCTTTGCCACTTGCTGTAATCTTTAACCTTCGGCTTCATATTTCTAGGCTTTCATTTCATTTTCTTCAAGGCAAAAGGAGTTTATTTAAGTTGCTCTTCAGGTTCTATTTAGTTCTAAAATTGTGTAGAATATGTGAAAATATGTATTTTCTGAATGTCTTTATGCAAACCTTATCACTTGAAATTTTACCATTAGATATGATAACTTTCAAATTGATTCTGATATAGAGCAAAAAGGACTCCCCCAAAACACCAACTGAATATTAATTAAAGTATGATTTAACTCAGAATTCATTTGATTATAGATTAATTCTTTCCTGGATATGTAGAATTAAAATGTAAGAGTGATTTTACTGGCTGATACAGGAATTTTACTAGAGAAAGCAAACTAAATCCAGAATCAATATCCAAATCTGTTTATCATCTCTGGAGTCATACGAGTCATAGTCACATATGCTTCCTTCTTTGAGATTCATGCTGACATAAGACGCCATTCTTTCAGTGGACTTTCATCAGGCAAAAGGAGACAAACCAAAGAAAGCTTCAAGCACTTAGCACAAATTTAGTTTTACTTATTCTTTTCCCCCAAATTATTTTCATTTCCAACACCAAGAAGACAAATGGTTTAAAGCTTTTGCTCCATTTAACTTTTCTGGTAGGGCCAAGAGCGTGGTCTGAAAAAGCAACATGCATGGCCAATTTAAAAGTGCAATCAGAAGAACACTAAGTATTTTAAATCACGATGTGGTAATGAGGATGGTATAGGGAGGATCCTTAAAAATTTTGAGGTTAAAAAAATAGAACATTTATTTTCTATTTCGATTATAAGCCCTTGTTAGAATTTGAAACAATTCTTTAAAATGGCAGTGATTTAGGCTAAATGGAATTACAACTTAAATTGGACAAACTACCAAAGAAAGACACGATGAGAGAAGTTCATAACTGACATGAAAACACACAACTTTACTACCAAATTAGCTTCATCTACTCCCTATTTGCCCCACTCCATTTGTAGAACTGCCTTTTCAGGACAGGAAGGTGCAGTTAGGTGTCCTTTGGGTGTAAGAGAGTTGTCCTATACCATTAGGACTAGCCCTACCTCATATTTATCCCATCCAAGTAAAATATTAAGTAGATGGTTTCTCTAATGCATGACAATGATGTGAAATTGTCTTTATTTTGCAAGTGGAGCAAAATCACCCAATAAAGCAGTGGATAGCTGATGTGTTTCTCTAGCATGTCCATCATTAGCATTATTTCATTAAATGGCCACAAGAATACAGAAGATATCATAAGAATTTATCAGTGGCTAATGCTGGAGACAATTCTGCCAGCAAAAGTCAGGAATATTTATGAAAGGACTTCATAGTGATCAACGCTCCAACTGCAGAGGAAGAAGAATTCAGAATAGGTGAACAATTTTGAACATTAAAATAGCTATGACATTCTCCATTACCCTGATTAATTGTAAAATAAATATCTCTGAAAGACTTCATAGATAATAGCATGGAGAAGGAAAAGTGACAGCTAAAAAGCTCTTTCTCTCCTGAATCAATTTATCAGCTCCTTCACTGTTTTTGTCTAATTCCCATGAAAACCAGAGACAGCCTATTCAACTTTTATCTAGAAGTTATGATCAGCATAATGTAAATATAAAAAATTAATGAATTTTTAACTGTAGCTTTGGTATTCTCAGAAAGCAAACATTAACATATCCTCTTTTGAAGTAATAGTATGCTGTGATTTTCTCTGAATGCATTTACTGGGGCTTGTACTCACAAAATACTAGCTCTGTGAGCAATGGCTGTTTTTATGAGTTTTCCTCAGAAGATTGGTGGTGTACTCTGAACACTACTAACTTCCTTTGACAGTACACCTTTTATGATTCATTACCAGTTAGTTTATATAAATCACCTTTTCATAAGGCGTGGTTAATCAACCTGGCAATAGGTATCATGAAACATAAAAGGATTCTGTGTTCAACTAAGTGCTAAATTAAATAGGGTTAAATATGTGCCATTATTTTGGGACTTATTTAGGACTTGTAAGAGCTCCTGTTGATGTTCAGGACCTACATTTTAGAGCTGAAATACCTAGGTTCAAAGCCAACCTCCATTGCTTAGCATTATATTACCTTGGGCAAGTTACTTATCCTCTCTGCACCTCAGCGCCCTCATGTTTAAGTTGGTGTAATTATGATACTTATTTCATAAGGTGGTTATGTGGATTAAATAAATATATGTGGCACACTTAGAATGGGTTCCAACATGGTAAATCTTGTAGATGTTTGCTAATTTTACTAATATGCCTTATAAATCCACAAGACTAAAATCGGGTTTTTTATTCCTCTATTCAATCACGTAATTATTTAATAAATATGTGGACAAAGTATAGTCTTACTTATGCCTTGTACTCTTAATAGACAATTTATAATAAAAAATAAGTCTAGAAATAGTCTATCTTCTTTGTAGCATGCTTATTCCTTCCTAACTCTAGTCAGAAGTGTTTGTTTTCAGAATCTGAATTCAAACCATTGGCCATGTTTTTCCCGGAACTACCAGTCTCCTGATGACAGTCCTACAAAGACAGGGAACAGCACTGAACTGACTCTAACATGCTCTCTGCTTCGTGATATTCAGATTTCCTCTTGGTGTCCATTGTGTGTTCAAACTGGTTTTTTTTTCCCCCACGTCGTTTCAGGCAGGAAAAGTTCAGTTTGGTTATGTGTATGGCATGAGTGCCATTGGCTGCCTTGTGATTCATGCCTTACTGAATCTGATGAGCTCTTCAGGGGTGTCATACGGCTGTGTGGCCAGCGTGCTGGGTTACTGCCTGCTCCCCATGGTCATCCTGTCTGGCTGCGCCATGTTCTTTTCATTGCAGTAAGTGTCGGTGTGCTCTCATTGACCTCACATGCACAATCATAGCCAAGGTTTGCCACAGGCATGCAAAAGTTAAGCCCTTTCTGATTGTTTTGGTAGTGGAACTGGGAAAAGCATGGCTATTAAAAGCTACACATAGATTCAGAAAAGTAGGTCAGTTTTGGCCCAGGTGCTGTTCTTACTTCATTCAGTTACTTAAAAAATAAGTTAATCCAAGTTATCTTTAAAACTGGCACTTTTTGGCTGGGCACGGTGGCTTGTGCCTGTAATCCCAGCACTTTGGGAGGCCGAGGTGGGTGAATCATCTGAGGACGGGAGTTCGAGACCAGCCTAACCAACATGGAGAAACCCTGTCTCTACTAAAAATACAAAATTAGCCAGGCATGGTGGCGCAGGCCTGTAATCCCATCTACTTGGGAGGCTGAGGCAGGAGAATCACTTGAACCCAGAGGCGGAGGTTGCAGTGAGCCAAGATCATCCCATTGCACTCCAGCCTGGGCAACAAGAGCAAAACTCCATCTAAAAAAAATAAATAAAGAAAAGAAAAGAAAAAAAAAACTGGCACTTTTTAAGTTGTCACATTTTTCAATGTGAACTATCATCATGTGTAAAATAACAACTACAGGAAATTCACCTGTTTGATTTTGGAAGAGTAAGTGCCTGGTGAACACTGATAAATTGCTTCGGCTTTCAGGCACTCTGCCTTCTGGGCTGAAAACAACTATTCTTTCTCAGCTGGGCTCCTTGCCGGGTAGAATTCCCAGGAACCCTGATGAGGATATTAATGTTGGAGAATTTTATAACATACATGCTCAGTCAATATTTTTTTTTCTTCCTTAATTTAGGCAATTAGTATGTGCAACTCAAGACCATTACTAAGAATACAGTACATTAAACAACTCTAGAAATTATCTCTAATAGGTATTACTTAAATCAATAAATGTAGTACTTATTTGGTGTTTTTAAAATATGTTTGGTTTATTAATAGTCTGAGGCATTAGAAGCCATACTATAGAGCTTTTCACTTGTTTTGCTTTCGTTCAATTATTAGAAGTAGATATTTCTGTCATTTTCATAAATAATAAACACAATTCCCAACTTCAGAGTCAAACCAAGATCAAGTAAGGCAGTTTAGTTTGGTGGTGAAAAGAGTACTATGATAGGAGAGATCTTGACCTGTTGTCCACTTCACCATGCAATTTTTGTCATCATTTTATTGCTTTAAAACTGGGCAGTAGACATCTCCTGAGATTTCTCCCAGCTCTCATGTCTTATTTTTCTAAATAATGCATTCTGTTTAGCACATAAGAAAGGAAATTCACTCTTGACCACCTTTCCTGCCTTATTATACTCCAAGTGACCAGACTTGACTATCTTATTTGCTCACTTGCCTCCACAGTTACTTTTTGAAGATACCAGGTGAACAAATCTATTTCAACATTCTAAAAATATACAAAATGGAACTTCAAGGATGAAGTGGGAAGCCACACACATACGTGCTTTCCTGTCCCATGTGCTCCTTACTTGAGCTGTGTCAGACTTTTTGTGATGTCCGACAAAAACCTGAGAAGTAGATCTGAAAGTAGCGGGAATTAGGCACCTCACTGGAATGTAACTCTGGCTATCCTTCTCCCATACCATTGGCCAATTTTTGAGACAAGTAGGGGAAAGGAAGTCTATAGCTATAAGGATGTGAAGGCTCTCAATGCTGTATTTAAGAGAATTTTAGGAGTTAGGATTTGAATATTGACAGATGAGAGGAGAGTGACTGCAGGTGACTTCTACTGTTTTTTCTAATTCAGGTTTAACAGAAATATAAAATATTTAGCCTCTGTAATGAATTTGACTAAAAAATGCCTAACTGGTCAAGGGCTTTTGTTCATATATTTCATGATTTTCATTTTACCACTGGAAAAAAGTAGTTATAAATATTGTACCAAGGATATTTCAGAGGCAGCTTTAACTCAATGGTCTCTTTTCTACTGGCACAGGCAATCATCTCTTTGTCTTTGCTGCAGGGGCACCTTTGGAACCGTATCATCCCTGGTCATCATTGGCTGGTGTAGTCTCTCAGCTTCCAAGATCTTCATTGCAGCCTTGCACATGGAAGGACAGCAGCTTCTTGTTGCCTACCCTTGTGCCTTACTTTATGGACTTTTTGCCCTCCTAACAATTTTCTAAAGAATGTATGAGACAGCATTTCAAGACTCTATTTGCTTGCTGTCCAGATTATTTTGGAAATAAATTAACATTCAAATTTGATGATATGATTTTTGTTTTATTGCTTTTGAAAGAGTAATAAGCAGAGAGACAAAGCAGCACTTAAGGGTGGTGCTCTAATAGCCCATTGATTTGAATGATGTTTTGCTTTTGAGTTTGGTGCATTAAAACATTTCAAAATACTTAAAATAAAAAGGGATACAGTTGCTGTACTGATCAACCCTGCCTTTCTCAATAGATGTATTTCTGAGAAACATAAGTAAATAAAATCATATGTGTACTAAAAGGAAATCTCTAGCAAGCCTTTTCAGAAACTTTCATGACAGCTCAAGCTGTGTGCCTGTGGCTAAAGTTCCACTGTTCTGCACCTTTGGAGAGTTCAGGGGTATGTTATACAGGGTTTTACTTACCTAAAGAATCAAAGAACCTCTTGCCTCTCAATTCACTTACTTTAATAACTATTCTTCAGTCTCATTTAAATAATGCATTGACTCACCGCTTTTTCAAGCCCTCACTTCCTTCTTACTTGGTTTAGATGCCATGGCTCATTACTATAATTTCTTTCTTGCATGTATCCTCAGCAACCTTGCCATTTTCTCCCTAAGTAGGTGAATGTTACTAGAAGAAATCCCACTTCATATTTATAGTATTACCATGCCTTAAATGGTCCCTCAGTACTACCCTTGAATCCCACTACATTCTCTTAAATTTGCCTCCATGCTATCTGAGATGAATATATCACACAAATTTTTCACCGCTCAAATCCCCAACACTCCTTCCTCATGTTCTACTGTTTGTTTATTCTTATTTTATTGCAAAACAGAATCATCTAGAAGAAAAGTGCTTATCTTCCCACTTTCTTCTCGCTCAACTTACATGCACCTTTACCCATATATACTCTTATTTTCTTCTCATCTCTCTCTTCTCTCCACAGCCAGCCCCTCCACCTGCATAATCCATATTTTCTCATCACCTATCATTTATGTCAGCACATGAACATGTTTCAATAACTCTTATCTTAAAATAAAACTCCTTTGATTTTACATCTTTCTCCAGTTATGGCTCATTCTCTTTTTTTATTGCAAAAATTCTTGAAGGAGTTTTCTATTGTCTCTGCTTCTACTTTATCATTTCCCATTCTTGCTTTCCTACATTCTAGGCAATAATTTATCACCCTATTTACCAAGACCACCTTTGTCAAGTTAGCAACAATGCCCATGTCTTGCAACATTCAGTGGTCAATTCTCAGTTTCATTTCATCTGAACCCTGACAGGTACTTATTTGATTACCCAATCTCCATTAGCCACTATGCTGAAGCACTTCTTCACTTAAATTCTAGAGTGTCACATGTTCTTGAATTATTTTCCTACCTCACAAGTAGCTTCTTTTCAGTCTCCTTGGCTGAGCTTTCCTCTTCTTCTCAGACTTAAATATCTTCTCTAATTCTCCCTTGCTAGATGAGCTCATTTTATTGGATAACTTCAAAATCAAATGACCCCTAAATTTCCATCTACATTCAATACTCTTCCCTAAGCTCTTAACATATGTACACAACTTATACTTAATATTTCTATTTGATCGTTAATACGGTATTCTCAATAATAGCATATCTGAAACCAAACCCTTGACTTCTATCCTGTCCTACCTGGCCTTACAAGAACCACAAATCACTCACTGGTCCATTTAATACTAGACAGTCTTGATTACTCTGACTTTCACATCCAACATCTAGTCTATCAATTATTTTGACTATGTAATCAAAACATGTCCCAAACGTCACTGTGTGTCCTGGGCTCCTTCATTGCTCAGACTACTCCAAACCACCCTCCTCTGTTGCCTCACGGAAGCAGTTTCCTAACTGGCTTTCTGCTTCCACGCTTTCACCTCCACAGGCTTTTCTACACACTAGTGCGATCCTTTGAAAATGAAAAGCAATTATGTCATCCCAAGGCCCTCTCATGGCTTTTATTCATATTTACAATAAAACTCAACCTCCTTTTTATAACTCAGAAGATTCCTTTTCAGAGTGGTCCCCAGAACAACAGCATTAGCATCCCTTGGAAGCTTATTAGGAATTCAGAATCTCAGGCCCTGGCCCAGACTTCCTGAATCAGTGTGCATTTTAACCAGATTCCAGATGATTTACATGCACAACTAAGTTTGAAAAGTGTGACACAAGAAGGCCTTGCCTGCACAATCTCACTGTGTCTTGACTTTGTGACATCATCTCCTTCCATTCTCTCTCTTGGTCACTGGTTTTATTGCTGCTTCTCAAACCACCAAGTTTATCCACCTCAGGATCTTCATAGAAATTCAGTCTTCTTGCAACGTTTTCCCCTCAGATCTTTCATGTTACACTTCTCCGTTCATATGTTACCGACTCAGAGAGGCCTTCACTGGCTTTTTTTTTTTCCAACAGTACATCCACCCAGATTTGCTCAGTCCACCCTATGCGGTAGCTGTTATAATTACTTGAAATTATGTTATTTATTTGGTTATTTGCTTTCTATCCTCCCCCAAATCCACAGAAAATAAACACTCTGAGGTCAAAGACCTTGTCTATATGCAACAGTTCCTGATAAGGAATAGGAGACTAATATTTGTTTATTCAATTAATGAATACATAAACGAATGAGACTGTGATTGGACATTGGTCACTGTGGTGAACAAGACAGCTGAAGGTTGTAGCCCTAATGGAAATACATTGGCAGTGGACAAAAATAAACAATAAGCAATCAATTAATATGAAATAATTAAAGAAGTATGAGAAGAATTCTAAGGTAGGAGTATGTGGAAAAGAAGGCAGGATTGTAGTAAATGTTAGACTTTTATGGTCTAATAACCCATTAATAGACATATTAATTAGCACAGAATTTTCTTAAGTTCTGGATCTTTCTATTCGGGCTGCGATCCTTCATGGTGAAGCAAGAATGCCATTTATCGTAATGATTTCTCTGTAAAATCACCCCTTTGCTTAGAAGTATACTTATATTATGGACCTTTTTTTTTTTTTGAGACAGAGTCTCACTCTGTCACCCAGGCTGGAGTGCAGTGGTGTGATCTCGGCTCACTGCAGGCTCCGCCTCCCTGGTTCACACCATTCTCCTGCCTCAGCCTCCCAAGTAGCTGGGACTACAGGCACCCACCACCACACCCGGCTGATTTTTTTGTATTTTTAGTAGAGACAGGGTTTCACCGTATTAGCCAGGATGATCTCGATCTCCTGACCTCGTGATCCACCCGCCTCGGCCTCCTAAAGTGCTGGGCTTATAGGCATGAGCCACCTAATTTTTCTTCCTCTTTGGAAAGTGCTTTTACTTTTAAAAAGATAAAACTAAAAATTGCTCTAAATTCAGCATGTAAGTTGATGTTTTCCTGTGTATAAAAACAGTCATACACAGTAAAGGTTTGATATTTTTTACTGTGAAAAATTATAACCTCTATATTTAAAAGTGACATAAAGAAACTACTAAATATTCCATAACAGCAAGAAATAAGAGTAAATTATATTTAATAGTTCCTAATGACAGAGTTGTAAAACACCAAAGAATTAATGTTCAAAGAAATACAGATGATTTATATGAAAATAATTACAAAACATTAGAGGTTTATTTTAAGCAGACTTAAATTTACAGAAAGATAAACTATATCCCTGGATGAGAAGATTGGACTTCATAAGCAAATCTCCCCCAAATAAATGTGTATGTTTAATATAATCTCAGTTAAAATCCAAGAGGCATTTTTTTTAGAAAGTTGACAAATTGATTCTAAGGTTAATCTGAAAAATTAGGTAAATATATAACTGTGAAAAATTGGAAAAAAATTCTAAAACTTTATGACAATTGTTAAGTAGATTATTGTTCATCTCTGTAATTGAATGCTTGGTAACTAACAAATGTTTTGGAAGAATCATGACGGAGAAAATACACACAGTAAGTTTTCACAATTTTGATATTTACTGAGGATTTACCGTGGGCTGGCCTGGATGCTTTACATTTATTAGCTCATGTTTAGTCCTCACTGTAATTTTATGAAGTGCACTTATCATCACCTCCATTTAATAGGTGAGGCTACTGAGTTACAGAGAGGCTAAATCACTTGGCAAAGGTTACACAGCCAACGACTAGGATTTGAATAAAGGAAGCTTGATTCCAGAGCCCATAATCACTACATAACACTGTCTGTAACTAAGCAGCAACGTGTCTACTGTTCATTCTACTAGGGCTTATCTTTTCTTTTTCATCTTGGCCAATACTAGACAGGGCCAATGGGCTTCACCTAGGCAAAAAATATACTGTAAAAAGATAGAAGAATCCAGAATGTCTAAGTGGATTATAGTGGTACCTGTATGACTCCTGGGTTCTTTTCTGAACTGTAATTGAAATGAATGATGCACATTTAGATCTAGTTAGCATTTGTGTAAAAAAATTTCACAAAATATCACTCTCTCCCCCAATTCCAAGAGTTGTATACATTGTATGGATTTGTGTGGAATGAAGATATTTTCCTTTTAAATTTATTATATACTTTGTGAAATGTATCTGCAGTCAGTGAAATCTGTTACAGAACAAATGAGAAAGTGAAAGAAAACACATTTGGAGTGCACAATGAGAAATATATCTTTTTTTCCTTTATCTGAGAATGTAACATTTTCCATTTTTCTGTCTTTACTGTTTGGATGAAAGTTGCAGATTATTACTAAGGGCAAAAGGCACATTTAGTGGCAAGAGATGGCCTTCATTTCAACAGGAATGATTGGGGACATGGTCTGAAAATAAAAGTCCTGAATTACTCAGACTCAAGTGCCCCAGTTCACAACAGTTTAACTAGGGCAGTGGCCTTTGTCACATTTGATGACAGATGCTTTTCTACTCTGCTCTGACTCCAAGTGAGGGATGCCAACTGTAAACCCACATTGACAAGCTCCTGCTCCTCTTGTTCTCAGAGCATTGTAGTTTCTATTCTGTTTCTCTGACACAGTCAAGAGTCTATAGCTTTATAAATAGGTTTTCATATTTGAGTAAAAGTATCGAATAATTTTTTAAAATTTAAAACCCAACCAGTCTATGTCACAGAGAATCCTTGATGATGGTGACCAAATACATATGTTCAGAAAAAAATTGATTTTTTTGTGTGTGAGGTAGGATTCACAGTCTTTTACACTGCTGATTAGCCATACAGAATGGTGAAAATATCTTAAACAGAGACTTTGACATAGAAGAAAAGAAGGAAAGAAGTAAAGCAGGAAGGAAGGAGAAATCAGTGAATCCTAGGTTATCATCCTGGCTCTGCCTGTAAACAGTTTGCTGTATTTGAGACCATTACGTAGATTTTTGAATTTCATTTTCTTTACATGGAAAATGAAGTGAGTAATACAGAGTTTGAAAGGGCCTTGTGAGGACTAAATAAGATGCTGCATATAAATTACCTAGCCCAGTGCCCTGCATATAGTAATTACTCAGTAAGTGGAAACTTGCCACAGCTGTAATAGATCCTCAGGGATAAGATTTTAGGAAAATCTATTTGCTTTTCCATAATATCATGAATAAAATTATGGGTGAAATATGATGACCTTAATTGACATACAGACTTAATGGAAAACAATTATTTTGGCATGGTGGTGCAACTGGTGAGGGAGATCATGTCAAGGTCAGCTAAACTTTTTGTTAAGTATTACTAGAAATATTAACACAATTTTATGAATTTGAGAGAAGGTCCTTTGTTGAAGTTTCATTATTTGGCTGCCAAGCATCTGAATATTTTATATTGAAGGCATTTTCCATATCCTAAAGCAGGGAGTTATTCCCTCTCTCTGATCTCTGGCAGCTAGTGGCATATGAAATAGGATCAGCCAATTTGATCCTTTTGTTCAGCACCTGGAATCCTGATAAAATGATAGAAGGGCAGAGGAGCAGTTAGAAATATTCACGGAAGCTGAAGGGCAGATTCTGGCAGTGGTAGTAATTATGCATATGTAGCTGGGTCCATATCTGTAGAACGAGTTGAACTTGAAGACTTGGGCTGTCTTCTCTACCCAGTCTCTCAAAAGATCATGCACTTTTAGCAAGCTCTGACCTCTTCCTTTACGGTTGATTCTATGATCTAGCCTATATCCTTCTTATAAGTCCTATTTCTTTTTATGTTAACTAGAGCCAACTTCTGTTGTTTGCGTACAAGAACTCCTAAGGTACTGGTAGACTAATGAACATTTCCTCTCCTGGCATCACCAAACCTTTGGAGGGCATATTAGGTTATCACAATAGAGAAGGTTGAAATACATGTTATTCGTTACATTATCTGAGAAGACACAACTATTATATTGTATGTAGCACTCACAAGCAGAACACTTAGCACCTAAACTGTCACTGTAGAGGTATTTTTATCACACAGAACAACATAAACATGTCACTTCAAACTGACTGTAATTTGGGGAGAGATTTTTAGTAACTAGAGTATAATTTCCAGACTCTGGGAATTAAGAACTTGTGTATTATTTGTCCCAGCTGCAAATCTTGTGAGACAGATTGAAGATGGTATTTGCTGGTGTATAATGTGGTTCAGAGATGAGCCTTGCTGGAAGGAAAGCAGCATGTGAGGAAGAACGTGTTGAGTATTTCACTGAGGCAGAATGCAGGGCAAGAGCAGCCGGAATGACAATGAATACCAGCCAATGGCAGAGCAGTCCGAGGGATCCCACAGACCCAGTGACAGGGCACACAGATCCTCAGGTGCTGCCTGTTGCCAGTGGAATCATCATCTATAGGTGCTGCAATCTGTCTTGCATTTTAAAATGTGAACACTGGGAATTCATCCCTCTTTAATAAAAAGCGTGGGACTTATAGATAAACAACTATTCTGAACTTCCCTCAAAGGGGTCATTTATTGAACTGACAGGAGTGAGAGAAGCCAGTCCAACAAGTATAAGCAAGGTTGTTCTTGTGTCAAAGGCATATTAGAGGAACTTTTACAGAATGCTTTCAAATTTCTGGGATTTGCTTAGAATGCGATTTTTTAGAGAGGCCCCAATGTGCCATTTCGTTTCTGTGTTTAATATTCTTTATTTGCCAAGGGAGTTTATTGGAGGGAATCCAAAAAAACATATAGAATGAGCAAGGATATTTTTATTCCTAGCATTATTTTTGTCAACACTGACTACAAAAGCATTTATTTCCTATCTATTTGGATATGACCCTGGGCTTGTCCCTCTGCAGCAAATCATAGAGCCTGGCCTAATACTTCACATACCTATAACCTTTACCCTATGTATCTGCCCTGGATCATCACTGAGCATTGCTTAATTAAAATGATAAATCAGAAATGTAAATAACTCCTCCCTGATGAATCATATGCATTAATGCTAACTTAATCTTAGACATCAACTTCCAGCAAGATTTCCCAAGTTAAATTCCTTTCATCAAAATTCTTTTTTAAAAACCTCTCGTCATTGATAAACTTGGATAAAATAAATCCTTTAAATACCATTAGTATTGGCTTAAACATTATATTTTCATGAATTATTATTTTTAAATAATGAGGTCTATTTACTAATTTTTGCTTTCAGTCACAATTTGAACTAATCTCGAGAAAATTCCTCTTGAGAAGAATGAACTCATCCAGAATATTTTAAAATGTCTTCAGAACCACCATCCTGGTTCCAACACACAGCTTCATAAGGCTTCAGAATTAGTAGCCCTTTTGTTGTGGAAAACTCCTAAGTGACCCAGAGCTGCCAAAATGAGGCTTCTGCCTCACGGTTGGGTGCGCATACAGTCCCCAGGGTCAGTGGTGTGTTTTTCATATGCTTCCACTCTGACTTTCTACTTTTTTTTCTTTCCATGGGTAGAAGGAGAAAAAAATATTATGTATGTATATAATAGGTTTGAAGGAAGGAGCTAAAGAACCAATATATAATAGACACCTATTATTTCAGGGCTTTATGTAAAATGTCTCATTTCATCATCAGAAAAAGCAATGATACATTATTTTAAAGAAGAATCTAAAGTAAGAGAATATGGTGTCCTTTTTCTACGTTCCCATGGCATCCTGTGTCTACCCCTATTGGAGGTATTATCACACTATATTGAAAAATCTACTTATTTGTCTACATCATCCATGCAGTTTAAGTGTCTTGAGTATACTGTATTCAGTCAGCTTGCTGGGACCTCCGTAACAAAGTACCACAGACTGGGTGGCTTCAACAATGGAAATTTACTGTTTCACAAGTCTAGAGGATGGAAGTCTAAAATCAAGGTGTCAGCAGGTTTGCCGTCTTCTGTGGCCTCTCTATCTGGCTTGCGGATGGCCCCCTTCTTGCAATGCATAATATCTGCCCATATGACATCATTTTACTTTATTTACCTCTTTATTTTATTTTATTTTATTTTTATTTTTATTTGAGACAGAGTCTTGCGCTAGCCAGGCCTGGAGTGCAGCAGCATGATCTCAACTCACTGCAACCTCCACTTCCTAGGTTCAAGCAATTCTCGTGCCTCAGCCTCCCAAGTAGTTGAGATTACAGGCACTTGCCACTGTGCCTGGTTAATTTTTGTATTTTTAGTAGAGACAGGGTTTCACCATATTTGCCAGGCTTGTCTCGAACCCCTGACCTCAAGTGATCCACCCATTTCAGCCACCCAAAGTGCTGGGATTACAGGCGTGAGCCACAATTATCCTCTTTAAAGACCCTATCTCCAAATGAAGTCACATTCTCAGTTACTGAGGGTTAGAATTTCAACTTAATAAATTTTGGGGTGCAGGGAACACAAGCAAGCTTATAGCATTGCCCATATTGAATCATTTTTATATCTTCACCATCAAGCATAGGAAAGGATGTATATGGACACTCAGTGAAAGAAGGGTGATGCCAAAAGTAGTGCTTATTTTTCTATCATATGACCTTTTTATTCAAGTCATTTTCTAATCTCTTTCTCAATCTGCTGCAGCTTCTTTTCCATACCCCTTATAACTCTCTGCACTTCTCATAGGATGTCTCAGGAAAAATGGCCAGTGCCGTCAATTCCTTTCCTCTCTGTACTCATGGCCGTCTCCCCTTCTTGAATCTCGACTGCTTGTACCTAATTTGACTAATAGAATAGTTAAAAATGACATTATGAAACTTCTGAGTCCGACCTTTAGGCAGAGTGGCTGCTTCTGCTTCCTGGCTCTTGAAGTCTTGAACTACTTTCTAAGAAGTTCAGGCTCCTCTGCTGAAATGAGACTCCACATAGAGGAGCTGGAAACGGAGGTGCTGGAAACATCAGTGAAGAAGACATCTCGTGCAGATAATGTCTACCTTGAGAAAATAATGCTGATAGGAACTCTGACCAGAATTACTATCTCTCCCTTGAACCCTCTCCCTTGACATCACAACTACTTCTAGGCCCATTTGACTTCACTGAAGCCCCTGCTTCAATTTTACCACCTTGAGGATGGATAGATTATCATAATGATAGAGAATTATTTCGCACTAGCCCAGTGTATACAGTAGGCAGTGAGGGTAGTCTTGTCTTCTGTCCTTTCCCAAAATGCTAGCTGGCTCAGTCATAAGAGAACTCCAAGTCTCTAAACAAGTTAATAAAATTAATGCATTTTTAGGACAACTTTTGCACTTTTAACAAAAAACCAATTTCATATAATTTGAAAACTATTCACTGGAGCAACCATCCACAGAATGGTTCTCAACTATTCCTGAACCTGAAATGTCTGTTCAGAAGCAATTGGTACTGTCAACATTTCTTGTACGATTTTAATGAGAAAAAAAATTAAAAGCAGATTCTCCATATGGCCAGTCATTAATCACTGCAATGATAGCTGGGAAGTAAATTAACTGATACTGTAACCTCTTCCCCTTCAGAAGCTAAGGAATCATAAAGGTACCACAGGAAAATTGGTTACATCAGAACACATTTCTGAGGAAGTGATGATAATTAAAAATGTTAAAAATCAAAGTTGTAAACATTTATTTTAAAAGTAAGACACCCTGAGAACTTCAAGTGTAGAGACAGTGCTGCAATTCTCATCTCTTCATGTCACTTCCTGTGTGCTGCTCAGGCCAGGCCACCACCTGCTCCAGGGCACCCCTCTGCATCCATTGAGGACTTAGGATCCTTATTGTGTCCTGCTCTTTCCTCAAATGTTGGAGTAATCCCAAAGGACCTGCAGGACCATGTAGACCGTATGTCCTGCATCACATCTTCCAAGCATCTCCATGACTGCAGCATTCGATACCTCAGCTACACTCTGGACTTTTCTGTTTCCTAGGGTTGTTTCATCTCGAAAGAAAAATTGCATTAGGATTCTCAGTCCCTCAATTCCTTCATTTTACTTCAGTGTTCGTCTCGCATCCTAACAGATACAATTTTTGTTTCTATCCAGGGCAGATAACATGGTGTCACACTCTCAACTCTCTAAGCCTTTGGCCCTTCTGCCAACTTGTTTTGCTAAACGTCACACAGCTTAAATTGAAACAAACTCTTGGTTTCCTAATTCCCTGCTTGGTCTGATGGGAGCTGCTGGACAACTGTTGAATCACGCAACCGTACAGATGAGTTTGATTTCATATTTATAAGCCAAAATGTCAAATGAATTTTCAAAGCAACTCAATAAGTAAAACATATTTATTATAGAACTCACAAAAGCAGACAAACAAACAAAAACAGTGTAGAGAAAAAAGGCACCCATAATACCATTACACAGAAAACTGGTGATCAGCTTTTTGGTGCTTTTCCTCCCAATCTTATTTTTATGCATATAACAGGAATAATGTGCATGTTATCTTATAAAATACCCCTTAATATTATAAAATTCACTTAGGTAATGTCACAGAATTGATTTCCAGCATCTGATTTTTCATGGTTCCATATTATTCCTCTTTTTAGACACTCTATTATTTATCTTCAACTTTCCCTTACTGGTGGTTATTTAGATTATTACTGACCAGCAACTCTAACTTTTTATTTAGAATGCGTTTTGAAAGATAGAATTTGGGAGCTAAAGAAAATAACAGTTTAAGGTTCTTGATGCACTTTGACAAATCAATTTTGAAAATAGTGAGAACAATAGATTCCAATGACAGTGGAAACAAGAACAACTGTTTTTTCCTGTACTTGGCATGCTGAGTAGCTTATATCACCAAATGTGAGACCGTACATGATCAGTGACCAAAGTAGCACTGATAGCACTTAAAATTCTTTAAGTGAGTAAAATTCGGATATATGTGTGTTTTATCTCTGTGATTACTAGTAAGATTAAGCTTTTCACTTTATAAGTTTCTTAGCATCAATTGTTTTTGTGAATTACTTGTTCACAGTTTTAAAGTAATCATTTGAACTATTCCTAGCCATCTCATCTCCAATTCCACAACTTCCAAGTTGGCTTCCTGCATTTTAGATGGTATTTAGTTTGTCTGGCAAAAATATTTCCTCTTCTTTATCCCCATACATTGTCTTCTGTACTGTGCTGGTTTATTTATGGGCAACTCAGATTTTTTTCCCATTTTTTGCCTGTTACTTTATATCACATGAGCTAGAACCATGGGGATTATATTTACTTAAATTCCACTAGCTGGATTTCAGGTAAGATTTCAATACATCTTTTATGCAATATGGGGTAGGCCAAAAAGAAGCAGAAACCATCATTCCTCATAAGCAGCAGGGCCACACATATGGGTTTTGGCAGAAGGCAAATGCGAGGTTTTTCCACCTTCTGGGTGTTTTCCTGCCAGCCTTCCAATTTGGTGCTACAGGCAGCTGAGATTATCCTGGCATTTTTCTACAATACCCATATAATTAAACTCTTGAATGCTAGCAGTTTCCCTGTAAGGAGTCCAGCTCAACTCCCAAATTCTATGTGTGATCTTTCAGGCTAAACCACAGCAAGGGTGGAGAGGCCTCCCAGGGGGAAGTCGCCCTCCCCACACCAGACTTGTTGCACTGCCAGTCCATTGTAGTTTTCTGGCGGGAACTGCAGTCAAGGAATCAGGGACCCCAGGACTAGCCATGCTCTTTCATGGAGGCATTTTTATTAGGCCCAAGGGGTCTTCAACACTTTCCAGGAACCTCCTCCCAGACCTCAGTAGAGGACTTGCCTACGGCACTTCTCTCCATTTTGACTCCATACCTGCCAACTCCTATTACATCCCCTATGACTCCCCAATAGGTTTTCCTTGCCTGCTGCCCAGATAAAGCCAATTTATCAAGACAGGGGAATTGTAATAGAGAAAATGTTCGATTCACACAGAGCCCACTGAATGAGAGACCAGGGTTTTATTATTCAAATAAGTCTCCCTGAAAATTTGGAGACTGGGGTTTTTAAAGGATAATTTGGTGGGGAGGGGACAGGGAGTAGGGAGTGCTCGTTGGTTGAGTCAGAGATGAAATCATAGGAGGTCCAAGTGTGTTCTTCTTGCTGTCTTCTGTTCCTGGGTTGGATCACAGAACTGGTTGAGCCAGATTGCCAATCTGGGTGGCACCAGCTGGTGTATCAGAATGCAGGGTCTGAAAAATATTTCAAGCATCAATCTTAGGTTTCACAATAGTGATGTTATTTCTAGGAGCAATTGGGGAGGTTCAGAACCTTGTGGTCTGTGGCTTTATGACCCCTAAGCCATAATTTATAATCTTAAAAGGCAGCCTGGACCCCAGACAAGAAAGGAATTTGTTTCAGAAAAGAGCTGTTATTATCTTTGTTTCAAAGTTAAACTATAAATTCCTCTGAAAGTTAGTTGGCCTATGCCCAGTAATGAACAAGGACAGCTTGGGAGGTTAGAAGCAAGATGGGGTCAGTTAGGTCAGATCTTTTTCACTGTCATAATTTTTGGAGTTCCTCCATTTGGAGTTCCTCCATTTGGCTCACAAATCCATAAAGAGGCAGAAGCGTTCGTTTGGGGCTCCTCAGCAGTGATATCATGCTTACCATCTGAGCTGCATTCACCTAGTTCTTGCCCAGTTGCATTTCTAGGGGAAAAATGGAACACTGAGGAGCCAGTGTCTGCTTATGCTCAACGCTGTGATCTTTGTTTCCCTGGGCTCTAATATGCTGAGTTAAATCTCTTCCATATCGAATATCTAGAGATGTTTCTTTTGTTCTGATAGAATCTTTACTGAATCTGTTACTTTTAATGGCAAAAACCGCAATTACTTTTGCACCAACCTAATAATATTTCTTCTTTTTCATCCACTTTACAGGGAAAAATGTTGCATTTCCTCCTCAAGGTTCATAATTCATTCTCTCAGTCATTAATTCATTTAAACATGTTTATTACATATCTGGTACTATGTAATAATCACTGGCACTGTGTTAGTTCCTAAGAATACAAGATGAAGAAGATCTGGTCTATGCCTTCAAGGATTTCTTGTCTTATTCAGGAGAGATAAACAGACATATCATTATAATTCACCAGTTAACACAGGGAGCTATTGGGAAGCAGAGGAAGGTTACCCAATCCAGTCAATGGGTAAGTATTTACAGAGAAGTTGATATTGTGACATAGAAAAAAATCATAGCATGAAAATATGTTAAATAATGCTGAATAGAGATGGAAGCTTGTCAGAGGATATGAAGCTGAGGAGAAGAAGGGGAAAAGAGGGGAAAAGTAATACAGCCAGAGGAGAGGAGAGATCTTCGGCCGAGAAAAAGAAATGACAATGATTATGTGTGCAAAAAACGTGGGCAGTTCTGTGTTGTTTGACTATAAAATATGAAATAGAGGAAGGAGAGATGACCATGGAAATGAGGTGGTGGCCAGAAAATGTAATGACTTAGATATGGTAAAGAAGAGTTTGGGCTTAATAATGAAGGTAATTAGAAGTTACTGGAGGATTTTATCAGAGAAGTTGTCAACTAAAAAAAATAAATTTCTTGAGCAATTTTAATTAAGATCATCATCATTAAGATTTTCTGTAACGGTGCTGAGAAAACCAAGAATTCTTACAGGCTTCCTGGCAACTTCCCATGAAGAAGCAGGGGGTATAGGCATGGGAGACAAGACATAAGTAGGAATAGCAGGAAAGGGCTTTGGCTTCAGACTCTTTGGTTATCAAATAATCTAACGAATTAAAATAGTAATGCTCTACCATTTTCACCTCTAAAACTTGCATAGATAAAAATGTTAATCCTTATGAGGGCATGATGAAGTAGACATGCAGTAATTATTGCAAGCTTCTGTGGAAATCAATTTAATGATATGCTCTGAGAGCTTCAAAATGCTCATACCTTTTGACCCTTTAATTCCACTTTTGTGGATTATGAATGCAGACAATGATTATCACTACCAAGTGGAAAATAAAGCAGCAATAACTTACATGGCTGTAAAGAACAAATAAGATAATGCTTGAAAAGTGCCGGTACTACTGCCAGTACACAGATGAGTTCAGGGAGTGCAAGGAATCATTCTTCTTTTGCATCTTGATTTTTAAAGTGCTTATTTATTAAATACATAGTGAGCAAACCACAGTATGTATTGACTGCCCACTGTGTGCCACTCCATGCCAATTGCTGAGAATGTAATAGTAAATATGGTAGGCTTTGTTCTTACCCTTATGATATTTAGAGTCTTATGGCAGAAAAAGGCTCCAAGTAAATAAATTGTACAAAATACTACATATGTGTGTGCATATACACATACAGATGATTAAGGAAATTAACATGGTGTTATGAGAGAAAAACAGGAGAGATTAAATTTAGAGAGGAAGGTGCAGAGCAGCACTTGCTGAAAGTAGGGACCTTGTTACTGACTAAACTGTGTTCTCCCAAATTCATATGTTGAAGCCTTAACCCCCAGTGTCACTGTATTTGGAGATAAGGAGGTAATCAAGGTTAAATGAGGGCAGAAAGGTGGGTGGTACCCTAATCCAATCGGACCATTCGTTTTATAAAAAGAGGAAGAGACATCAGAGCCCTCTGTCTCCTGCAGGATGCACAAGGTGAAAAGGCCAGCTGAGGACACAGCGAGAACGAGTGGTCTAGAAGCTGAACAGAGAGGCCTCACCAGAAACCAAACCTACTGTCACCTTGATCTTTCACTTGACTGTGAGGAAATAAACTTTTGTTGTTGAAGCCACACAGTCTCTGGTATTTTTTATGGAAGTCCCAGAAAACTAATGCAGACCTGAAGGATGGGAGGAGATGGCTATTTGCAGAAGGGCATTTCCAGGGAGAGAAAAAAACAGACACAGCCCTGGATGCTGAAAGGATCTTGGTGTGTTTGGACAGCTGAAAGAAAAGCGGTATACCTAGAATCTTATGTATCCATTATGAATATTTCTGAAACATCTTTGGGAAATAAGGTCATGATGTCATCATTAGCTACAGCAATAAATCGATTTTGGTTCTGAGGATCTGAGTTTTGGTTCAAAGGAATACAATGAAATGGAGATAGAGAGAAGAGGCCAATGTTCTACAGACCAGAGAGTGTGAGGCACTGGTAACCACTGAGTGAATTCAACCTTTGCATATTACAGATGTCAAAACCAAAACTCAGAAGCACTAGATGTATTAACAGGGATTAACGAGAAAAACAACATATTAGCTAATGCCAGACATGTTTAAGAACCTAAGTCTGTTATATCCCTTACAAGTGCCTTAAGCAAGCCCATTAAACTAAACCAAATTCCCTGTCTCAAACTGATGTCTCATAATTGAGCACCAAACCTGGATTTCTAGAAAAATGATCTGCATAGAGTCTGAATAATTCTAAGGAAAGCAGAAACTGCAAACTAAAAGAACTAGCTATAAATTATCTTGAATGTATTTGCCTCTATATTCTTAGCAGTATTGACCAAGCCCTGTTTGAAGGTTCTAGGACTGCAGGTTTATGAGTCTGTTACATATATTGTTTATTTACATTGTGCTATAACATCCCAGGAAACCCTCACTTTTGTAATTGTAGTAATGATGGGTAATGTAAATTTTTTGAGTATTTAGGTAAATGTTTAACAACCAGCTCTCTAGGGGCAGAGGATTGCCTTGAATCTATAGACGGAAAGTTTGCATCACTTCAGAATTCATATGCTGAAATCCTAATTCTTCATGTGATGATATTAGGAGGTGGGGCCTTTGGGAGGTTATTAAGTCATGAGGGCAGAGCTGTCATTAATGGGATTCATGCCCTTATGAAAGAAAGAAAGCTCCCTTGTGCCTTTTGCCATGTGAAGGTACAAAGAGAAGATATCCATGAGTAAGGAATCAGGCTATCACCAGACCCCAAATCTTCTGGCCACTTGATTTTGGACTTCCTAGCCTCCGGAATCTAACAAATAAAATTCTGGTTTTTGTAAGCTATGTAGTCTATGGTAGTTTGTTACAGCACCCTGAACAGTCTAATACTGTTCAGTCTCTAGCATCAGGGTTCCTCTCTGCCTTCACAGTGGTGGTTGTTAAACATTTAACAGCAAACCACTTCATTTTTGACTGCTTTATTTTCTGGGCTGTAGCATTTGAATATCTCTATGGGGTTAATATGCTCATTATGGTTGATTTGGTTGATTTCAATGTGATACCACTGAAGCAGAGCTGGGAACAGATGCTCGGTAGTAGCATACCACTACATAGCACTTTCACTGTAACCATTAGTTCTCACAAGCCTGGATGACCCAGCCCCAGTTACGCTATTGTCAATAAAAGTGTGACTCTAGTGCTTGCATGTCTACAAACTCTGGTATATTTTTTCTCTTCGCCACCGGGGATTAAAACTAGTGCAACTAACACAACTTGCCAGATGTATGTAAAAACCAGGATAAATGGTACTTTTTTGATGTTCCATCTCTTCAACTTTATAGCAAAATGTAAGTTTCTCTCTGCCTGGTTGATAGGTAAATGCTGGATCCGTTTGGAAAGACATTAGCTTCCTTTGCGAATTTCTGTGTCTTTCAAAAGTAGATTAGAAAGTGTGCTAAAGGTGGGCGCGATGACTCATACCTGTAACCCCAGTACTTTGGGAGGCCTAGGCAAGAGGATCACTTGAGGTCAGGAGTTTGAGACCAGCCTGACCAACACGGTGAAACCTCCTGTCTACTAAAAATACAAAAATTAGCCGGGTGCGGTGGCACATGCCTGTAGTCCCAACTACTCAGGAGGCTGAGGCAGGAGAATTGCTTGAACCTAGAAGGTGGAGGTTGCAGTGAGCTGAGATCACGGTACTGCACTCCACCCTAGGCATCAGAGTGAGACTCTATCAAAAAAAAAAAAAAAAAGGATTGAAAAATTCCTATATTCAATCACATTTTTAGAAAGATATGAGGTCTAGGACATTAATATGTAGAGCAGATATAGGTAAAACTGATACTTGCTCACCCAAAACTTACTCCCAACCTTTTTCCTCCATGCAGAGTCGAAATTTTATTCTGGTTTTATGTTCACCTACTATAGATTGAATGTTTGTTAAATGTTATGCAGATGTCAAATCCTAATGCAGAATGTGATAGTATTTGGAGGTGGGACTTTTGTCAGGTGCTTAGGTCGTGAGGGTGGAGCACTCATAAACGGGATTAGTGTCCTCATAAAAGAGCCTCCAGATAGTTTGCCTCCTTTTCTGCCATATGAGGACACAGAGAAAAGATGACCATTTTTGAACCAGGAAGCAGGTTCTTTCCGGACACCAAATCTGCTGGTGCCTTGATCTTGGACTTTCCAATTCCAGAACTGTGAGAAATAAATTTCTGTTATTTGCTACCACCCAGTTTATGACATTTTGTTGTAGCAGCCTAAATGGATTAAGAGCATCCTCTGGCCCACATGCCTTGGTAAATTCTTATGGATCTAAACTAATTATCAGGTCTTATTACCTTGCCAATGACTGATTTTGGTTTGGGCTTATTACCCACTTATGACCAATGAGATATGAGGGATGCCTGAGAGATTCTGAAAAATCCTTCTTAGTTTTAAACACAACAAAAAGATAGTCACTTTTTCTGTCTCCCTTCACTGGCATAGGAATATTTTATGCCAGTAGCTATAGCCATCTTACAACCAAGAAGCCAACTGATGAGGTGATTACAATGAGATGAGATGGAAAAAGCTAGGTTGTTGATAATGACTTTGAGCTACTAAATTAATAATCCTGGAATTTCTCTTCCATGGAGCTTCATGTTCTATGTACCAATAACTTCCCTTATTTGAGTAAGTCTTCTGTTACTTGGGTTCTTATGGAGAGTCTTATGCTATTTTTCATCCCCAAGTTTTTTACTCTCTTTCCTCTAGATTATTTGTTATACCTGTCTTATTTAAATTTTTCTAATGGAGTACACTGGCTAGAATTTGACCTGAAGATTTACAAAATTTTGAGTAATTGCTGGGAAAAAAATGAAAGTCACTAACATTTTCTGCCTCTCAAAAGCCTCTCAACAATCTTTTGTGATGAATTATCTTTAATTTTAAAAAGATAGATAATTGGTGTGAATATTTTATTTATGCAATTGTACAGGCAATATCTACCTATTATTCTTGTGAAAAACTAAAGAAACAGGTAATGTCTATGCAACTCTTTTAATTGGAAAATTGTTTCTGTGATGTAATTGTTTTGGATGTGTCAATGTCGTGCCTTGGTGGTTTTTATTTTTGTTTTTGCTTTCTGTTTCTTTGGCTTAGTTTGGGAATGGGATAATTTTCTATTTTTCCCTGTGTGTGTACTTTGAGTGTACTTTGTGTATAAGGTCTAGCATGATCATATAAAGATGTTTGTGTGCATATGTGATAAGCAGGCTCTTACAAAGATAAGAAGCTGAGATGCTTAGAGACACAGGGAGGACATGTAGGCCTGAGCTAGTCCTCATCCTGGAGGAAAGACTGTAAAAATAATTTGTGTGACAAAGCAACTTGCTTGGAAACGTCTCAAATGCCAGTGTCCAGAGAGATACACAAACACACAGAAAAGGATGGAGACTAAACAGACATGACTTAAATGCAATGTGGAATCATGGACAAAGTCTTTCAAAATAATTGTGGAGATTGGTATTGAAACCATTGGCAAGATGGAATACAAACTGTAAAATTTCCCAAGTGTGATAACTGCATTGTGGTTATGTTGGAGAATGCCCTTGTTCTGAGCAGGAATATACCAAAATGTTTAGAGAGGAAGTATTTTGCTACCTGTAATTAATTCTTAAATGGTTAAAGAAAACAAAAAAAAAATTGTCTATGGATAGAGAAAATGTGGCAAAAATGTTAGATAAATCTGGATGTAGAGTATATGGGTGTCATTGTACTATTTTCTAACAACTTTTCTGTGGGTTTGAAGTTTTAAAAATTAAAGAGTTGGAAAAATAAGATAAAATAAGAAGACTTGGATTTTGGGTAGCTCAACCTTGATTAACTACTGATATTCTACATATAGTGAATAGTGAAACAGGAGACACTGGACCATTGTGTTCCAAAGTGATTATCCAGTTGATAAAGGATGGCTTATAATTAATGATGGTATAATACAATGATGGTATTTCCCCTGAATAGAGCAAACATTCCCTCTGTAAATTTTGCTGGGAAGAAGCTTAATGTAGAAGAAGAAATGAGAACCGGAAGGCAGGCTTTCCAGTGGGAAGGATGAATGTGAGAGGTCAGACCTGACATTTCACAAAAAGTACTAGTACCTGTGAGTGTGCCTTGGGCACTGCCTCCTGCCACATGGAGTCAGCCTTTTAGCCAAGCTTGGAAGTGCTTTGTGAATACTGAATTTAGGAGCTTGAGAATATCTACATCTAGTATAAGTGTTCCTTACAGTTTCATGACATGCTAAACTAAGCTCTCCTGTGAGGCCATAAGAGTAGATGCTTAGAGTAAGCAGTAAGAAATAGTAATAATATTATTTTCACACCTCTCTCAAGCTAGGTAGTAACAGTCCTAGTGGCATGAGGAAGATCATGTGCTCTCAGAACTGCTGAAGACCATTTAGTAAAAGACTTGATGCTGAAGGCCTGTAGCTGCATGAACTGATGCAGAACAAGGGAAGGGACCAGCTTCACTGGAGACACAGAGATGGTAGGAGAGTAATCCTGGAAAGGTCAGGCTGACATCTGCCATTGAACCCTGGAGTTTGAGATTTGGATCGTTAATGTCAACATGATTTGA